TCAAAAGGAAACATTTTCCAACAGTTTCCAAAAAAATCGAGAAAAACGAAAAAAAAATGACAGAAAAACGGAGATTTTTATGCAAAACCAGCTTTCGACCAACATTTTTTTATATGGTTGCAATTCAAAAACTAATAGTGTAAATACTTGAAATTTTCACCTCACTTCCCCACGCTCCAATAATTCAAACACTTAAATACAAAAAAAAAATATAACAATGGTTAAGTGAGTGCTATTCATACGGTGTCTAGATAGAGTAACTGTAATAGATGTGTTAAATTTGAATTCAATGATTTAAAATCATAATATTTATAAATAACAATTTTGGTCTAATATTACTAAGTATATTAGATGATATTATTGTGTAAGTAATTTATTTTACTATTGGCACATTTTTGGCTGTAAGACAATTGTCTCACAATATTATCTCCTATCGAATATCACTATACATAGTACATATAATATAATATAGTGATTTAGATTTAGGTAAAGAATAAAACAAATTATAGTTGTTATTCTTTTAGTTATGATTTATTCACACAGGGTAAAAAAATTAAGTGAGATATACATATATCATACATAAACAATAGTAAAATGTAGGTATACCAAAATATATGAACAAAACCAATACAAAAATAATAAGAGCATAAATATATTTTTTGGACAGTCATAGACTAATAATTAAATTTGTATTTCATAAAAAAGTAAATCACACTGGAATACACTGTTAAAAATTGAAATGATTGATCAAACGTCTTACCACAATATGGATTATTTGCAAAGAGCATTATTACAATATGGAACATAGATATAACATAGTAACATATATGAGTATATAACAGTATATATTTTTTTGTCAAACTTTTAATATTAATAATGTAGGTAAAATGAATTAAATATAAAAAATAACGTAGTTGGTTATCACTTTTCTTTTACGGCATATTCTTTGACAGGCTGAAGATTAGTTGTTTCCGCAGATAAAGATCTAAAAAGTAAAATGTTTAAGCTATTAGTCTTTGTAAAAGTGAAATTGGATATTCTGTTAAAAATTAAATTAAAATTGTAACGAATTATAAACTAGGAGTTATAGAACTCTTGTTATGAGAATAAGTAATGAGCGATAAATTCCTAAATTATGCGACGTCATATATATATATAATATATACATAGGAATAATTATATAAGGCATATTTACTTTGATACATGTGTGTAAAAAACAATACATAATTGAAATTCCAAAATAAATTTTACTCTATGATATAGCAGAAATATGTATTGTCTGCATAATTCCGAGAGTTGGGGTGTTCAGTGATATAAAATTTCCTCCCCTGAGTTTAATTAAATTTGTATAGATATAATTTATTCAATTTTGTCTTTTTATTAAGTTTAAATAAAATTGCGTTAAAGGAAAAAAATAAATACGCCTCTGATGTAGTATTATAATTATGGTAACATTAGTAACTATATCGATGTGACTGATAGCCGTTTAAGTATTTATAAACTCTACCACACTTAAAATACGATATTTACCTTAAGTTATTTGTTATTATATATAATAACAATGATGATACATATTATATATGTTTTTTATACACATAAAAATATTATTATTTGTAATTCAATAACTCAATCCATACCTTGACCCAAACCAAGAACATGCTCCGGGTGCTGAATGCGAACGGTTGGATGATTGAAGTTTTCGTTTTGATTCATCAGCTGAAAATGGATTCTGAAAACAATGCGAAACATTATTACATAATAACAACAGCCTGTAATAAGAAAATGGCGGCATACCATCATTAGCATCAGCAGATATAATAATGAATAATATTAAAATATATTGTACAAGTACATTATACAGGTAAATACTAAATACAATAATATGTTTTCATGCCTAAAATCTACGTACCTATACACATAATAATATATTTTATATAAGTATTGATATTATTACCAATGTAATGAATCCAAAACTTTATGTTTATTTAGAACAATAGTAAAAGCTTAAACATAATTTTACTGCGAAGTAAATAATAAAGTATATATTATCATTTAGAGATAATTTTAAACTGCGGAAAATAAAATGCCAGTAACCTATCTATTAAACCTAGCTTGTTTACTTATTTTATACTTAATGATTATAATTAGAGCGTGGATTTATATGCATATTTATTCTAGTTGATTGTATANTGTCTCAATCTCCAACATTCGTGGTAACAATTGATTTTAGATTATAATAGAAAGTTTAACTTTATAGTACTTTTTAAATAATATCTGAAAATTAAAATTCTTGAGTATTTTAATAGCCGACCATTACTCGATCTAATGGTGGTAGTTGTATTATTCTTATTTTCTAATCATTAATTTAATGTAGATACAGTAATTTCTAATGGCTGTTATGGCAGAGAAACAATGATTTATATTAATATAATAATAGTATACTATTTTATAAAAATGTTAGCTTATTTTTGTGTGTAACATTTTAGATGAATTAATATATAAACATATTAATTTTGAATATGCAATAAATACGATAGGTACGTATAATGTTTTGTTTATCCCGTGAAATTACTTATGCAAACATACAGGACTGTTTCGTTCACTGTTCGGCTCCCCATCCTTTGACGATAACTTCTAATGTTATTTTTATAAACCTATATATATTTATATATATATAAATGGTTTTCTGTCTGCTTGTCCTATTTTTATTTCTAAATGGCTGAATTAATTGCTATGAAAAAAATTTGGTACAGAGATATAATAGATTTATGSTCAGAATATAGATTAAATATAAATATCGATAGACCTAAATATCTTTCAATCGAATATTTGAATTGTCCATACTGTTCTCGATAAACGAATTAAATTACTTTATGTTTAACTAAATTGAATATCGTTGTATGTATGAATATTACTTAGTATATATCAACCGTTATCTTTCAATATATATATATGTATATAAAAGTACACTGCTATCAAAACCACATGAAATGAATAAGATTTAGGATTTCAAAAAAAAATCTTGTGTAAATTATCAAATTTATTGCACATATCATTATAAATGGTATGTAATCTGTTTTAGGACATTCCAGACTATATGATGTCAATTACGAGTATATCAAGCAAGAGACCAAGAATGTCGATATATAATATATATGTATAAATTGGTTTTTATTTTAGATTCATGTAATTCAGAAGGTTAATCATTTAATTTTGATTTCAAAATATCTTCAAATATTATGGACTAAAATAAAAACTTATTTTCCGAAAACGTTTTATTACTAAACAATATTCTCAAATAGGTACTTGGATTATTTTCAGTTTAACAAGTGTTATCTTCAGTGCAATTATATTATTTGTATAAGGAACATCATTGTGCACTATACGTACGATTTTTAGAAAATGTTTGAAATTGTTTATGAGATTTAATATATTTCATATATTAAG